CCCAGCTTTATTCTTCCTTCTCAGGATTTCTTTGACTATTCAGATTCTTTTGCGGTTCCATATGAATTTTAGAACTATTTTCTCTAGTTCATTGAAGAATGCTGTTGGTAATTTGATAGGGATTGCATTGAATCTGTAGATTGCTTTAGGCAGGATGGCCATTTTGACAATATTAATTCTTCCAATCCATGAGCACAGGGTGTATTTCCATTTATTGGTATCTTCTTTAATTTCTCTCATGAGTGTCTTGTAGTTTTCAGGGTATAGGTCTTTCACTTCCTTCATTAGGTTTATTCCTAGGTATTTATTCTTTTTGATACAATTGTGAATAGAATTGTTTTCCTGATTTCTCTTTCTGCTATTTCATTGTTAGTGTATAGGAATGAACAGATTTCTGTGTATTAATTTTGTATCCTGCACCTCTGCTGAATTCAGATATTAGATCTAGTAGTTTTGGAGTGAATTCTTTAGGGTTTTTCATGTACAATATCATGTGATCTTATGCACTGATTATAAATGAAAAATTTTAGACTCATCCCAGAATTAAATGCTATATAGTATATTAAGACATGTGAAGCCTAAGCAAGTTTTAAAATGTGAGTGATTATAGTGATTTAAGCAAATTGCTCAAAGTAAATAGAAAAGACAACCAGTAATCCCCAATTTTTCCAGGTATTAGAACTGAATTTAAAATATCATTACTTGCATTCTTATAGTACAATTACTCTGTACCATTGGCTGAGAAAATAAACAGTAACATTATGCTGCTGTGGGTTCAGTAATGTATTTTCCCCAAGAAGGCAGTGGAAAAAAAAAAATGCGTAGGGAACATCATTTATTCAGTCTTTAGATGGTGCTTGCCATGCATATATTCTCAGACTTGTAAAACTTGTTAGGTCCGTAGAACTTCTCTTTATTGTTTTTCATCTTTAAAAAGGCAAATTATTTTTAATATAGGGATTGACACTGGCTTCCTAACACTGTCAGTATGTCAAATGGACTCGTGAGAGATGCTAAGGAAGGATAGATTTTTCACTTCCTCATTAGTGTTCTTCGTAGAGTCACATTTAGGTTTACATCAGTTATATTGATTTCCATATAATCTAGCTTTAATGAAACTTTTTTAAAAGATGAGCAAGTGACTGTAAAAAATTCCTATCAAAAAATCAAATTGAGTATAATAAATCACATATAAGGATACAACATAAAAAATGTTAGGACTGTTAATCCCTTGATGGGCTCTTATTATTGGGGGAAACTATTGATATAATCAGATCTGAAATACCGAACTCTCAAAAACACCTGAGGTTGTCAAAGAGGATTATTTGAAATATGGATCAATATTTACTGTTATGAAGCAGGATAAAAACTAACATTTTTTTTTTGTTTGGAGATATTTGATAAAGCCATACAACATTCAATATAGTACTTCACAAAATTTAATTCAATTTTATTATAAATGTTTACAAGTCCCTTTGAAGTTTCTGGTTGAATAATAAAAGACATAAGCCATACCACTGGGGAAACCCTTATTTTTCTACTTTGGTCAAAAATGACTGAAATAATACATGGAATGTGTGGCAAAAAACTAAAATACATTCCTTTGTCATCAAATGCCTTTGAAATATGCAGAGTAAACATTGCTGATTTGAAGACACCGGTATCAAAGCAGTTACACACTGTGGAAGATTTGCTTTAAGATTGATTGAAGTATGGGTTTTTATAAAATACATTCCCCATAGTATTTGCTAAGTTGTGTTTCAGTAATAAATACTGTTCTTGGTGAATGAATAGTAAAAGCAAAGAAATGCTAGACAAATGGATATTTTCAATAGTAAATAAATGGCTTCTATAAGAAGACCTTTTTAGAAGAAAAATCATAGTCATTTATGGTGAAAATCTTGCATTGCATCATTCATAGGCAAATTACTGCTACGAAGAAATTGAACCATGAGTTTACAAATAACTGTTAGGGTATCATCCATGTAGTTCATTTTATTAAAACAAGGTCTTTGCTTTAAAATGTATTGATAATAAGTAAGATGAGAAGTGACCAAGAAAGTACATTTTACCACATAGGGACTTGCTGATTATCTCATAGCGAAGTTCTTTGCTTTTAAAGATTTATGGAGCTTAGGAGTTTCTGATTCCTCAGCAGTATGCTGATATTTTTGGATAAAAGAAAATACAACCCCAATCTTCCCATGCAAAATAAAGGTTACTTAGTAAGAAAGTAATTATTTTAAAGAAAGTAGTATTAGCAAAAGAGCATTTGGGAAATAAATATTTGGAAATGGTTTGTTTTGAGATTTTTGTTGGAGGAAACAGGATCATTTATGTAAACTCTTAAAGCTTTTGGGAATTTTGATACCCATTTTACGAAAACTCATACATATGCACCAATATTCAAAATCACATTTTTATAATTAAAAATAAGTTCAAATATTCATTGATAGTGGAATAAATAAAAATTGTGATACAAGAAAGTATACAGTGACACACAGTGAGTAAACTACAGATCTCTGTAAATGTGGATGAATCTCAGATTAATGGTGAGCCTAAAACAAGTACTAGAGTAATACATACTGTACTTTATATGAATGTAAAGTGTCAACTATAAAGCTAAATAATCACATAAAATAGTTAAACTACATAGGATACTATTTAGAAAATTCAGGATAATAGGAGGCTTCAGTGGTCTTGATAATGTTGTTTCTGAAACTGTATGGTGGGTACATGGGTGTTTCTTTTACTGTTTAGCTATATGTATAACATTACATAAGTTCTTCTATGCATAACTGCATGATGTTTACTGCATGATTTTTAAAAAATTAAATCCTTGTGGAACAGCCCCAACTTTAAAATGAAGTCAGTTTGAAACTTCAAAAAAAATTACCAGTTTACAAGAGAATGCAAATCCTGATATAGCCAATAAGTGTGCTTCGTGATCTAAGCTCAGTCAGGTACTCATTTCTTGGGCTTCCAGTCTTGAGCAAGTGACTTTCAGAGTGAAAAGAGAGAGAGGTAGGAATCATTGCAGTGATGATCAGCAGTACGCAGCCAGGCTGTTTTGGTGTAACTTCGATAGTGTGTGGCTCCCTTGTTTCCTGGTGGTTTTCCAAGCTAGCCTTCTAGGCTCCCTTTGATTCTTAGGGTCCCCAATAGCTTTCCATAGAAGACCCCTCCTTTCTTCCCTCCTTTTTATTCCTAAATTAAAATCAAATTTGGAAATAGGAATTTCTAAACTCTTTTCTAAAATCTTGTTAATGAGGAGTTCTTGTGAATTTGAATCTACTAAAATGTAAAACAGCAACTTAATGGCAACTTAATTCCTTCAGGAATGATGGAAATGACTTTTTTTTTTCATAATTGGTAGATGGGATTGAAAAGTGGTTTGATAAATATAATTGACAATTCACTTTCAGTTGCATTTATGTGTTTTTATGAGTTGTCTTTTCAGGTGAAATTGTCCCAAGAATCTAAATTAAAATGTACTTTCAAATTATTGTATCATAGCATTAAAAATAGGCATATTCTGTTATTGCTGTCAATACAAAATAGAATTTTGATTATCTTTTTATATATTAAAAATAATATGTATTTGAATGAAAAATAATTTTTATGTGTTAAAAATCCCTAGATCCAATGAAAGGCAGTTGAGTGTCTCTCAAAATTTGGTTCTTCGGTCACCAGCATGCTTTTTTTGAAGATATTTATCCAAGATCTAATGAAAAAAGAATCTGTGTGTATGCAACTATGGAATCTGAATTTTGAGATAATAGCAAATATTTTGCTGTGTTAGTATGTTTCAAGTACTGTTATAAGCACTATACATTCACTCTTCACTGCAACCCTGTGACGTGTACTATTATTTTATATATATATGTATTATACATATACATATGTATGTGTGTATTATACATACATATATAATAAACACACATACATATATAATATACATATATTATACCCTTGTTGTTATTCCTATTTGACAGAGGAGGGATTTGAGATACAAATGACTAAGCATCTTAAGGTCACACAGCTAACCAGTGTTAGGCCCATGGTTGTATGTAGGAAACATACTAGAGCATTCTCATGCTTTGGAGAATCAATACTCTAGTCTGAGTAATTTGAAATTGGAAAAGCTTTATTCTAAAATAATAAAGTTAGGAGGGAGTGGTGCATAGTAGTACTTGACAGTTCTTCCTATGAGTTTTAAGTCTTTGTCAGCCAGCACTGAGAAAGAGTTGTCTTATTGCTAATTCATGGATTATAAAACTCAGCAATATTACATTCTTTAACACATCAGTTAAGTTACATTTATTTCGAAGAGAATCCAAGTAACGGATTTTAGTCCATCTAAGTAAGGTCTGTTTTCAATATAAAGTAAGATCTTGATAAAAATCATGTGTGTGTAGAATGGAGATTTTATATTTTAATTGGATTTTGGGATTGTCTTCAGGATCACTGCAGGGGAAATCTTGCTTACAATATTAACTTTTGGAAGTCTTTTAAAAATATATTAGCATACTTTTTTAAACCACAATATACTGAACAAGATGTTGTACCATTCAGAATATTTTCATTGTTCAGTCTTATATATTGAAACCTAGAGTTATCTTATAAATTGAATTTTTAAAAAAATATAATTAGATTTTGTTTCTTGATTTTCCTGTTTCCTAGAATAGTGATTCTCAACTTGCTACACATAGGAATTGCCAGAGGTTTCAAACAAAACAGCGACGGATATATGGGTCACCTTCCTAGAGATTCTCATTTAGATGTGGTCTGATAATTCTGTGTGCTAGGATTGAGAAACTACTGTTCTAGAAGAAGGATGTACAGGGAAATCTTGGTTTCCTTTTTGTTGTTCTAGTAAATTCAGATAATACCAAAAAAGATACTTGAGATAGGAATTAATTGAAGATTAGATGGAATATTGTAGATAAATTCCCTATCAAATTTAAACATATAACACCTACATTTTTTTTTTCTTTCAGCTTCTTTACTAAACATGGGTGCATTTTTGGATAAACCTAAAACTGAGAAACATAATGCTCATGGTGCTGGGAATGGTTTACGTTATGGCCTGAGCAGCATGCAAGGATGGAGAGTGGAAATGGAAGATGCACACACGGCTGTTGTAGGTATTCCTCATGGCTTGGAAGACTGGTCATTTTTTGCAGTTTATGATGGCCATGCTGGATCCCGAGTAGCAAATTACTGCTCAGCACATTTATTAGAACACATCACTAATAACGAAGACTTCAGAGCAGCTGGAAAATTGGGATCTGCTGTTGAGCCTTCAGTGGAAAATGTCAAGAATGGTATCAGAACTGGCTTTTTGAAAATTGACGAATACATGCGTAACTTTTCAGACCTCAGAAATGGAATGGACAGGAGCGGGTCAACTGCTGTGGGAGTTATGATTTCACCTAAGCATGTCTACTTTATCAACTGTGGTGATTCACGTGCTGTTCTGTATAGGAATGGACAAGTCTGCTTTTCTACCCAGGATCACAAACCTTGCAATCCAAGGGAGAAGGAGCGAATCCAAAATGCAGGAGGCAGCGTAATGATACAACGTGTTAATGGTTCATTAGCAGTGTCTCGTGCTTTGGGGGACTATGATTACAAGTGTGTTGATGGCAAGGGCCCAACAGAACAACTTGTTTCCCCAGAGCCTGAGGTTTATGAAATTTTAAGAGCAGAAGAGGATGAATTTATCATCTTGGCTTGTGATGGGATCTGGGATGTTATGAGTAATGAGGAGCTCTGTGAATTTGTTAAATCTAGGCTTGAGGTTTCTGATGACCTGGAAAATGTGTGCAATTGGGTAGTGGACACTTGTTTACATAAGGTATGTAAGTCTTTTTTTGTAATTAAAATAATTCTGAAAGTCACGGTAAGTAAATTAAGCAAACTTTAAATTTTTAAACTTTAGTATTTTCATTAGAGAAAACTGGTATATTTTAAAATTATTTTCTTCACCAAAAAGGAACCTCCTTTTCTTTCTTTCTTCCTTCCTTTCTTTCTTTCCCCAACCTTCTTTACCTCAACATTCTAATTTGAAAGTTGACTTTAGTAAATTTGTGGCATTTGTTGTCATTTAAGCACTTTATGGCTTGTTGCTATGGCACAGACAAAAAGAATTGCTACTTTTGATTCCAGTTGTCAACACTGGCAGCAGCTCTTATGCCTGATTATGAAGCAGTTTGATAATTCTGTACTAGACATAAAAGATCAAGAGCCACATAAAATATTGGAAGATACATCAGAAACCTAGGCTAAGTTTTATAATTTAGTTCTGAGCCTCCTAGCAGCTAATATAAAAAACTGAAGGAAAAGTATGTGTGTTACATATTTTTTACTGTCTAGGAAGAGAAGCTTTTCTTAGCAATAAACTCTAAAAGGAATTTACATGTGATGCGTAAGTAGTATATGACATAGTGGATAATATCTTACTTTTGTAAAAGGTATAAAAATTCTTTTCCTATAGATATTTTTATTATCACTGATTATAAAACCAGAGGCTAATATAAAATGTAATCCTGATAGGAATCCCTGTAGGACTCTAAAGTTTAATTTAGATTTGTAATATTCTGTGAATCTTAACTTGATACAGTAATAGGAAGAAAAAATTCAAACTAGCAGATAATTAGCAATTCCCTTGAATGTCTGTAAAATAGCAGTTCCAGGTGAAGTTTTCAGTGTGTCTATAGCAATCAATTAAAATTTCAGTTACCTGACTTGTCCCTAAAATATGCAAGTATTCTCTTACCAAGGCAAAAAACTAAACTTTGGTTATATAAAAAAAAGATTTTGACTTATTTATTCTAAGTTAGAACCTTTTGTATTCCCACCATGTAAGTTGCTGTGGAAGGTACAGGCATAGCCAAAAAGTTTTTCAAGAGGGAGTTCTGAGTCTACGAAAGTGCCTAGGTTTTGGTGAAGCATCTACCTCTTTTCCATAGAGTGGGAGGAGAGAACTTCAAAAAGAGAAAATGTAAAGTCTGGGTTTCCAGTTGGCAGCTTTTTTCTGAAAGGGTTTAATGATGGTATTGTTAGCTATTCTGATTTATTTTTTTTAAGCACACTGGATCCTTTTTACTTCTCTGGATGAGTTAAGTACAGAAGTATTGGTGGCCGGCATTGATCGAATAGTAAGTGGCAGTAAAACTGTCATTTCTCCTTGAACTCTTAATGGAGGGATTCCGACCTGCAATTCTTGGGGTTATAGTAAGCGTATATATTTTGCCTGACTAGCAAATGAAAACAGCATTTTCTCCAATTACAAAGAACAGTTTATACTCATTACTGGAAAAAAAAATTATGTGAAGAAACACTAAAACATTTTGCCACTTCCCCAAGTCAGCTTCTTTCATCTTGGCATATATCTTTCCAGTCTTTTTTGCTTGCCTTCATGTGTGTGTGTTTTTATAAAAATGAGATAATTATTCTTGTTATTCTATAATTTGCTTTTTCATTGAACAGTGTATCATAGATCTCCATATTTGTAAGTGTTGATCTAAATAATTTCTAATGGTTGCATAGCATTCTGTTGAAAGAATGACATGCAGTTTTGAGAGGATAGCCAAAAATCTATTAGGTCTGTAATTTGAAATAAAGAAAGTTTGTATTGTAGATAAACTTCATTCTCTGTTCCACTGAAAAGTTGTTCGTTTTCAGGAATTTCAGCCCCACTCTTCTAAATGGGGTTTAAATGATTCTGGTGGCATATTTCACTTGATAGCTTTTATCAGTTTTAAAGTGATTAAATATTCCTGTTGATGGTATCAAAAGACTCTAGGCAGAGTCCTAGAATCTCAGAAGTGATACATGATAATAGAAATAAGAGGTCGGAACCTATGATTCATTCAATTTTAGTGGGAGTCAACCATCATAGTTCCTTTGAATGAAGCTGCATTCAAATTGAAATCAGTTTTGAGAAGCTTAATTAGCTCATTTATATGTAAACAGTTATGAATTTTTTGTACCACTGCATGTTACTTACAGAATACTGTAAACCTCTTACTTATTTCTTTTTTTCCAACTCCAAAATTTTGTCATTCCACTTGTTTGTATTATAAAACCCAGGGCTAACAATATCATAAAACAATGATTGATTTGAGTTTAGTTTGAAAGTTTGAATATAAAATTTTAAATCCATGGAAGGCACTTAGCCCAGTGCTTGGCACTTAGTAATTGCTCTGCAGGTATGACCTGCTTTGAAAGGACAGATTAGAGTTGTTCCAGTTTTTAAGTAGATGTTTCCCTGATAATAGATTTAAATGAAGTGTTAAAATTTTCTAACACTTGTTATGCCCTTTATAAGCACTTCTGTATGTTAACTCATGAAATCTTGGAAGATCATGATAATAATCTCAATAGTGTTAAAAGTAAATTACTCAAATGTAAATTAATGCTTTCTGTGAGCCAAATGCTATTCTAAGCACTTTACACATATTTTAATTCATTGACTTTTCACAACCATAAAAGGTAGTTAGCATTATTGTTAATGATGACAGTCATTTTACAAGGTGCCATTTAGCAATATGAAGCTGTAAGCGTTCGATGACTCTGGTCAGGTATTATCCTATTTAGATATTTAGCTCTCGGGGAGGATGGCTCCTAAGAAAGCAGCCTTCCCATTTTATTGCCAGTGCTAGCATTCACCGTATTTAAGCTAATTTCAGGTTGCATAGAATATGTAACTGCTATTTGCATAGCCTTTTATACTTAAAAATCACACTCATTTTATTTATCCTCACAGTAACCTTCTCAAGTGAACAAAATAAAAAATTGTTTCCAATTTATAAGTAAGGAAAATGAGGTTAAAAGAATGCTGTAAGTCATACATATTTGATGAGCACTGAAGCTGAGGCTAGAAGTCCAAGCTTTTGGACTCAAGTTTATTATGTTTGTTACCATGTTATCCCAGAGGGTTTAATGAAAAAAATTTACCCAAGGGAAACATTAAGACTTTTCTTTTTTCAATAATTGTAAGATTCATTAAAAAATTTTTTTTAATAAACACAAAGATGTTTGAAGTAAAGTTACTAATTTTTAAGTCCCTCCTTTCCAGTCTCATCTCCTCGCGTAATCACTTCTCACAGTTCATTATATATCCTTTCAAATAGTTCCCTGTGTTTATTCATACAAATATGTGGAAGTATAAAAATCAGATCTTTCCTTTTTTTTCTCTTATGCTTATTAAAGAAGTGGATCATACTATGCATGTTGTTTTGCCACTTGCTTTGTTTTTCTTAAATCATTGAAGTCAGTATTCCTTTATTTTTCTTTTACAGTACTATTTGATTTCCCTAAGTTCAGCTTATTTAGCACCTATTAGAAGTTTGTTTCTTAAAACATGAAGTATAGTACCTGTTACGTGGTAACATGGAAGGAGATTAATGACTGATTTTCCAAAGGCAGTATTATTTTAGATTACTGGTGCAATATGGAAAATAGACTTGTATACCCCTGAAAATAATTGTTTAGCTCTAAACTTAGGGGTTTTTCAATTATAGTTTCCATTATAGTTTATACAGTCATAAGTAATACAGAAGCAGACATGGATAGTATTAGAGTAGGATGTGGTTGGGTATTTTGAGGTATGGAAGAGGACTGGTTTTGAAAGTTCAGTATGTGCAGTGTAGAGATTCTCAAACTTTGTTGGTTTGTGGTGCCAACACAGTATCTCGGTAATTTTTTCACAGTGCTACTTAGCCATATCAATACTTAAGTTACAAGTTAGATCCAACTTAATGAGTATATGTCTTTACAAAAAAAATACTGAAATAGTGTGTCTTAGTTTTTAAAAAAACTACAGTTACCTACTAGTAGTATGGGTGCACCTGGAGGACATTGTACACCTGAAATCCTGGACTCACTGGGCACTGCCACCCTCATTTCCTGGATCACACTGATTTTTGTGGGAACTTTGCTTTTTATCACAGCAATCTTGAAAACCCCAGCTTTAAAAAGACAGGATGTCATTGAGAGGCATGTAGCATTATCTAATGTTAAAACTATGAACTACCTCGAGCTAGTTTGTGGGGTGTTCACATGTTGAGTACTGCTGTCTTTCCTCTCATTTAACCTATCTCTGTGAGTGCACTGTGGCATCCTGGGAATTCTGGCGTACCATTTGAGAACCATGGATTTGGTATTAGGATGCAGTATTTGAAGCCAAACTGGGTTTTAAGTTATGCTGTGCCACTTAATACGAATTTGGACAGAGCCTTGGTTTCTTCATCTTTATATATTGTATTTCCTCATGGATTTGTTTCACGTAAAGCTTTTGGCACGTGCCTGAACAGTATCTGGTTTTATAGACTTCAATAAATTTTAGTTTTGTTGATGATGGTTAGGAAATGAAGAGGTAAGTTTGTGTGAGGGAAATAGGCTCAAGGTAATGGTGAGAGAAGTGAGTATTCTTGAAAGGAAGTAATTGTAGACTTTGTCTTTCATGGATAGTTGAAATTTGGTCTATTCCTTAAGCTTGGCTGTTTTTTTGAAGTATATGTAAATGAGATAATTATATGAGTGTCAGATTAAAAGTTTTTGATTTAAAAAATGGGTAATATCTATCTATGGTTCACTTATCAGATGTTTGTTTACTAACCTTGGCAATGATAGAGATTCTGTTCACAACCTATTTTATATGCTATGGTAAGACTTGATCCGGGACACTTACTTGTAACTAGGCAGCGTTCAACTTTAAAACTAACAATACCAAATTATTTTCTCTTAAATTTGAATATCCTTATTTATATAGGGGTGCTGGCTTACTTTGACCTACCTATTAGCTATATTAATGCTCCAATTAATTAGACTATAATTGCTGTCTGTTTTCAAAATCAAAAAGTAAGTTACTAAAATAATCAGTTTTATGTATCTGGCTAATTACTTTTAGTTGTCTAGGCCTGGATTTTTTTTTGTTTTTTTTTTTTAAATTTTATTGTGTTTCATTTTGGATTTAATGACAAATTTATACTGATTATTGCAAGGATGATTCATCTCTTGAAAACGGAAGCAGCATAAGGAAGGATGTTTTTAAGTGCTGTTTAAAATTTACTGAAATATACTCTGTGTTTAGGGGAAATTCATCTTTCTGTTGAATAGAAATAGAAGACACATTGAACTCATACATGCTGAGGTGTAAATGTAAATTATTTCCTTTAAATATGTTTGGGTATTTCAGTTTCTTGAAACTATCTTTTCAGTTAATTTTCCAACTGATTGGGTGGGTGTTTTATAACTTATAAAAACCTAGTGGAAATTTTAGATAGATAAATGAGGAATGGCTAAACAATGCTCATGCTATTGTAACCAAAATAGAAAATGGTTAGAAGAAACTGGATTTCTAAAAATGTAAGGGTGTTAATTCTGTTTATTCATAAAATTGCTTTTAAAAATCATTAATATTCAAGTGATGCTTGATTCTTGAATATCTATGGTATAAAGTTTTTGCCTGACCTGAACTTATTATATGGTAAATATTGATTCCCGTGTAATATATTGACTCTCTTTTTTGGTGTTTGGAACTATTCTGTGTGTGTGATATTTTTTCATACAGTCATATCAGTGTATCTGTTAAGTCATATAGAAGTTTTGGTTTTATTAAGAAATGAAATTAGTTTGGTTCAATTTGGAAATCCTGATTTTTTTTTTCCAGATACTGAGGATCTGATTAAATACTCATGATGGTTCTTCCTACTTAAACTTGGGGGGTCTGTGGAGAGAGTGATTCTTTTTGAAGCCTTCTTAAGACCTGACCTCCACTACCTTTAAACTTTGCTTCATTGAGTTTTAGGAGTTGGTAGCGGTTAATCAAGGCCTGCCTGTCTTTTTGGCTGTGTCATGTGGGTTCTGCAAAAGGTGGCAAGGCTAAACATAACAATGCCTGCCTACATTCTGACCGTAAGGACTAAAAAAATCTAGAATGGGAGTAACCTTGGCTTTTTTCCACTTGGGTTGGCAAATCCCACTATCAGACAGAATAGCCTACCACCTCCATTGACTTAGCTCTCGAGAACAGTAAATAGAAAAAAAAAAAGTTGAAAAAAATCACTGTCTCAAGAAAAATTTCATTCTAAGATACTCAAAGTAATACACCTATAGGATAAGTAATGAGAATTATTTCTCATAATCTCATGGTAGTAGACTAGTATATATTCTGTGCTTCCTTGTAATATAGATCATTTGCCTGTGATGGTGTTACTGAAAAGGCAGTGATAAAATTTGTCCTTAAATAAGCAGTTTTAGCTGTTCTCTACAGACCCTGACACTAATTCTAGTTCTGTATAACAGTCTGATACCTTCTTCAAAAGTTCCTACATCTGACCTACAGTGTATCTCAGCCATCTCATTGCATTGCATGGTTTGATGCTGTACTCTCAAAAGTTTCCAGTTTAACTGTTGTTTTCTACTCTTTTTGTACTTGTTTAGTATCTTAGGTATCCTAACCATCAACAGTTTTCAGCTATGTCAAATTCAGTAGAGTTTTAGTAACATTGCTCTGATGCAGGTTAATTAGCTGTAGGGAAAAATTGCACATTTGTTTGGGAGGATGTGTTTTGGGCTTTAGTCATTTTGAGAATATGCAATCTTACGCAGGAAACAGGTTTAGAAGTTCTCATATGTATGAAGGTATTTTCATTTCTCAGGTTGTTGAATGGTGGTGGGTAAGAATAGGTACACAGAATCGAAAGCTGTAAAATAATTACAGATCTACCCATACCTAGAGACCTTGTTTCTTCAGGGTATGCTTCAGATAGTTGTTTGAAATGAAAAAAAATGTGTTGAATGTGTGATGATGATTAAATAAATATTGAATCTGAATGATTAAATCAACTAATTGCTTAATGTGATAAATCTTTTGAAGCAAAAAATAGGTTGGTAGATTATAGAAACATAATTCTTTATGTTATCTTTCTTTACAGGGAAGTCGAGATAACATGAGTATTGTACTAGTTTGCTTTTCAAATGCCCCTAAGGTCTCAGATGAAGCAGTGAAAAAAGATTCAGAGTTGGATAAGTACTTGGAATCACGGGTTGAAGGTAAGAAAGATGCTGTTTTGTATTTAGAAGGAAAGGAAAAGTATTCTTCCTTGTTTATCAGATAGTTCTTAACATAATACTGCCTAAGATTTACTTTCACTTCTTAGAGCGGTGTGTGGGATTTATTGGCAGGGAGAAGATGACAAATTTCTAATATACCACCAAAAAGAATCATAATTTGAAAATAGTCTGTTAAAAGCTTGCCTCCCAACCTCCCCAACACACAGAAATTTCAGAAGTGAAATTTGCTTCAAGCTATCATGAACACCAAGTGCTGTAATTCCACTAACACTGATTCTGCCTTCCCAAGCCAGTCATAGGCAATCATTACGTTTCTCATCTTACTGATAGAATTAATCATTGTTGTGGTGAAAAACTATTGATTTTACTTATTTTTAAAAATGTTTTATTTTTCAATAATTTTAAACTTACAGATAAGTTACAAAACTACTATAGAGAGCTCTCATGTACATGTACTACCTTTTACCTAGATTCCTCGTTTGATTATATCTCATTTGACTCATCTCTGTGTATTTTCAGTAAAAGTCTCATCCTTTTTCTCCCTCCTTCCTCTCCCTGCCCCTGCTTCTCTCTACATATTACTAATTTTTTTCTGAAGCACTTAGTTTAAGTTGCAGATGTATCCCAGTACCCCTTATTAAAAAAGCAGTCTCTACATAACTATAGCACATCCATCAAAATTGAAAAGTTAACACTGATATAATATTACAGTCTAATCTAACAGGTTCCATTCAGACTTCCCAGTTGTTTGTTAGTCTTCCTCAGTGTAAGAAAGTTGAATGGTCCTTTTCTTGTTTTTACTGACCTTGATATTTTTCAACAGTATGGGTTGGTTAGTTTGTAGAATGTCCCTCAGTTTGGGTTAGTTTAGCTGATGTTTGCTCTTGATAAGACTTAGGTTATACATTGGGAGGAGTACTAGAGAAGTGATTCTAAGTTCTTAGTTACATCATATAGGGAGGCACATGATGTTAATTTGTTCCATTAGTGGTCGACTTTTATGACTTGCAGTGTTGCCTTTCAGGCTCATTCACTGAACAGTTAATAAGTATGTTGTATTTATTTTAGTAAGTATTCAGTAAGGAGATACTTTGAGCTTATGTTAATAACCTACTCCTAAAATTTCACCTACCAGTTTTAGTGTCCATTGATGATTCTTGCTTTAATCAGTTGCTACTAGGATGATAAACAAATGGTAATTTTCTAATTCAGTCATTCCTTCCATATGTATTAGTTAGCATTTTACTGTAAAGAAAAATTTGTCTTCTCCCCATTTGTTTGTTGAATTCCTATGATCATGGATTCAGATTCTTTTTGCATTCATTGTGTTGTAATCTGTTACTATTATTTGTCATTTTGCTGCTTGTATTGTTCTTGATATGACCAGTGAGAACCTCTTCAAGCTCATTCCATTGTCTTTTTGACCTGTCTCCATAATTCTTTGAGAAGTTCTTTACTTTCTGGCAAAATGAGATATTCCAGATTCATCTGGTATTTTCCCTGCAGCATTCTTAAANGAAGAACAGTATTTAGGAATTGGAATTTGGGCATTAGGTGTGCTATTAGGGCATTTCCATACCCTACCAAAGGATAGAACTGTACACACACACGATTTATGTCCATATTTCTCCCTCCCTTCTTTATTCATTCCATTGGTGACTCCAACTCCTGTTCAGTACTACAGAGTTCATTCTAGTTTCCTCCCTCTTCATTATTTATCACTCCTTTTCCTACTACCACGAGAAACCTGGCTCCTACTGACTACTGAAGCAAATTTGTCACTGCTAACCCTTGTTTAGATGCCTTTCTCACTGCACATTGGGTTGGAATCCCATTCCAGGTTGTCCCCTACCCCCAGTGCTAGAGCTTTGCTTACTGTACTCAGGCTTGAGTACCCCGTGCCAGACCCTGCTGCTACCACCATTGCCCTTCCACCCCCTCAAGACTTAACTTGCTTGGCCTTACTAAGTCTTTTGGGCTAAAAATCCATTATTATTCAGGAATGAGGGAGGGAAGAAGCTAGTCTCTTTATCTTGAATTGCTGATATATTTGGGTTAAAATCTATCATAATTGTTTCTTTATGTTCCATCTACTCTTCTTTTTTCTTCTTTTTTGTCTTCTGTATTCATCGGTGTTTTCTATTCCATTTTATCCCTCCATTTGCTTATTAGTTGACCATTCTTTTAAAAATTCATTTTGTGGTTACCCTGATAAATTGAAAATCCGTATTAGAGATTACGACAGGATCCCTAACTTAATACATTTTGATTTTATGTGTGCTGTTTTTTAGATACAAAATTACTTTTTATGAAGTTACATTGTTATGTTATGTCAGTCTTACTTATTTTTTTGCCTTGTTATTCTTACCAAGTCCTTTTCTCAGTTCAGGGTGACATACTGACCTGCATTTTCTCCTAATACCTTTATGGCTTTTTAAAAAAATAGTAAATACATTTAAATAATAACTTTAATGATTATGGTGTGATAGGCTTATTGAATTTAGCCTAGTATGAGTCATATTTTGGATTAAGTAGCCATCATTTGTTAATTATTAATAGAGTTTTAAATGTGAAGATTTGCAACTTCATATGTCTAATTACCATGGGAAAACTAGTTGTTTTGCAAATTTGGGGCAGCATGGAAGAGGTTAATCTTTTTTAGCTTTGTAACTGTCTGGTTATACACCCTAAACAAGGTGTTTAAAGGTTTAGTTTTCATTTTTGTCTTTTACATATATGTTTTAACTGTCAATGAGTTCTGCTTTTAAGGTAATTGAAAGATAAGAAACATGTGGGAATACTCTGAAGAGGACGTCAGAGGCATTCATTCCTGTTGATAATGTCATACATATTAAGAGGAACTGTTAAAAATGTACATTTTCTGATAAATTACAATATATTTGGATGGGGGATTGCTGGCTAAAATTTATCAGAAGGCAAGAAGAATTTTCTTATTGTCCTGTTTCTTCATGCATAACAAAATGAATAGTTTTCACTTTGGTAAGCGCTCCCCAGTTTGGTCAGCTACTTGTTAAGTGATCTCAAGCCAGCTTGCCTAACCTCTGAAGGCTCCAGTCTCTTGAAGAGCATTGTATTTCTATTAAAGTTTTAAACTATGTAATTTGACATTAAGTTTTGAGATCAAACTATTCTGGTGTGGTTTACAACTGTGAATGTGTTTTTAGTGGGAGTGAACTGGTTGGGGAGGTGTGCTGTTAAATGGAATAGGATGAAACTAAATTGATTAATAAATATTTAGTGCCTCCTACATGTATTCATTTACTCAGCTTTTCTTGAGCATGTGTGTCACTGGAGATAGAGCAGAAAATAAGTTCTTGATCTCATAGAGTTTATGTTCTACTAGAGACCAATAATTTCAAGTAGAAGAAAAATAAAACAAGCAGAGAGTAACAAGGAGTACTGGTTAGTAAGGTGCCTGTGAGGAAAGACATTTGAGCAGATAACTGTATATGGGAAAAAAGAGTGGCTGAGAGAGTATGGTCGGGATTGAATGAGCCAGTAGAAAAGTGGAAGACTAAGAGTGGTTGCTAAGAAGCAAATTATGTAGGGCTGTAGACCAAAATGAGGACTGTGGACTTCACTCAAACGATGTTGGGAAGTCTTGAAAAATTTTGAACACAAGAGTGACTTGATCTGACTATTTTCAAAGGCTCTTTCTCAGTTGCATGGGGAAGAGAACTGTAAAGTGGGGACAAAGAAGAAGCCAAGAGACCAATTAGGAATCATGCATTAATGCAGACGGGCAGATGGTGGTGGTGGGTTGAACTGCAGTGGCACTGGTAGAGGGGTGTGAAAACTAGTTGGTAAAGTGCTAGAGGGCGGTGGTTCTCAATTAAGGGAGATTTTGGTCCCTTGTGGCATGTGGCAATGTCTGGAGATATTTCTGTTTTTACAACGGAGGGGATGCCAGTGGCATCTCGTGGGTAGAGGCCAGGGAGGTTGCATAGCATTCTGCAGTGCATGGGACCGCCTCTGCAACAAAAATTACCTGGTCAGGAATGTCAGTAGTGCCAAGGCTGAGTGAGAAACTGCACTATTGAGATAGAAGGGTAAGGTAGAAAAGTTATATGCCTGCCTTTGTGAAGCTTGTAGTCTGTGATACAGTTAAACATTATGTACAATGGGAGTATGTACCGTTGTACCTACTCCAGGCTTGGGTTAGAGAAGAATTGGAGAAAGTGACAGTGAAGTTGAAATCTGAAGGCTGAATATGAGTTTAACAAAGGGGTTTGTTGGATTGACATAGAAAGTGTTCTAAGCCAAGGGAAAAAGTACACATAAAGATCTAGAAGTAGGAGTAGTCTTCCTTGAATAGAGTCTTTGGAGATACAGGAGTCAGAAGGTCACAGTGAGGGCCTTGCAAGGTAAACAGTTTGGATTTTGCGTCTTGAGGGCTGCTTTAAGACAACTGCTTTTTTGTCTTAAAAGTAAGTTGCCATTGATTTTGAGTTTATGTCTTGTTACTGGCCTAATAATTATGCTTTAAGTACGTGTTTTACATAATTATAAATATAAATTGAATGTGTAAATTTTTTTCTAAGCATTAGCAAGTTCTGTAATTTGTTTTTCTCTCTTAATTGTTGTGTAACATAGCTATTTAGATCTCAAAAAAAATCTATAAAACGATTTTCAGTTTTTCCCTTTTATAATCCTTATCCATCCATTGCTTCTGTTTTCCTATAATTATAGTATTAAAATTTTTATATAGTATTTCATAAAATTTGATAAAAAAAATTTTCATATAGCTGTTACAGTGTTCATAGAGATCATTTTTAGTGATGATAAACCATTTTACTCAGTGGGTATACCAAAATGTTCCTGTCTCTTTATTGTTGGACATTTCATTTGTTCCAGTTTTTGCTTTTATGAATAATGCTAAAATGAACATATATATGCAGATGACTTTTTATGGGTTTTTTTTTTTTTTGCTTACTTGTGCCATAGTAATATTTGCTTTCTACATTTTAAAAAAGGTACTACCAGATAGTACCTTTTGTTTTACCTCTTTGTGAATATTGAGTTTTATCACATTAATTTTAGGAACTCTTTTTAAAAACCTACAGAAATTATGGAGAAGTCTGGTGAGGAAGGAATGCCTGATCTTGCCCATGTCATGCGCATCTTGTCTGCAGAAAATATCCCAAATTTGCCTCCTGGGGGAGGTCTTGCTGGCAAGTAAGTAGAACGAAAAAATCTAATTTTGAGTTCATTTTTAATTAATAATTAAATAATTTTGAAGTATATCAGTTGTTTAAAGATTAAATGGGTTGATTTATGAGTTGATTGATATGGGTTGATTTTAGAGAGAAACTCTAAAATTTCATCCAAAAGAGGCTAATTATTTATGATACTTTTTTGAGGATGAAGGCCCTCTTTCTTTAAGTGAGAACAAATGGATTGTGCAGGATCAAATCTGAGTGAAATGTAGCAGCAGTGGTCTTGGCAAATACTCAGTGTGGCTCTTAATTTTTGAGGTAGTCAAGATGAAGTATTATTTTAAATATTCAGAAACTTAATAATTGTATGTAACTTAAACTAAAGCATAATATTTTTTTAGGCGCAATATTATTGAAGCTGTTTATAGTAGGCTGAATCCACATAGAGAAAGTGATGGGGTAAGTTTTATTTTACTTCTTAAGCATTTGAAATAATTTTATCAATACTAGATATGAATATATTCACATAATGAAATCTGTAATAAACTGTTATTGCTTTTCATTTTAAGGCTTCAGTAAAAGTTTAAGGATATATATTGACTGGAGATAGAGATAACTTCTGTTTTGTAGATAGGTTTGTTGTCACTAAGTAATGGGCATCAAATACCTTTTGTTTGGGCTTTACTTACTTCCTCCCTGTGTGTCTGCCTTTCCTTGTCTTTCTTCCTTAAGTCTTAATTTTGAGGCAAGGAATGTGCTTTTAAATATCTCAGTTTCTTCGCTGGCAGGCTGCTGCCACCCCTGGAAGTTAGTTATAGCGAGTGAGTGACTTTCTACAGGCAGACCCTTCAGTGCCTCTGTGTGAATATATCAGGGTCGGTTCTCTCTGACCTTCTGCTGCTCTGTGGTGTCTGTGTTGGGCCAGAATAACCACTGTCTGTTGTACCCTGCTGTGCTTGTCAGAGGGAAAGTTCTTGATCCGTTTACCTTCCTTAGAAATACCGATGAGCTGTCCGCTGCTCCTCTTTGTTACTAGTCTCAGGAGACGGAACAATGTCTTTGATTTCTTTCCTCCTAAATTTTAAGGTCAATAATTCAAATAAGTATTTTCTCAAAGGGTTTTCAACTTTTTGGACATCTAAAAATGAATAACTTAATTTTTAACGTGTGCTTCAAAGATTTCAGGGAGCCAAACTTCATAATGAGACTTGCTGAGAAGAACTAGGCTCACCCCTCCACACCCAAAACCTCTTTGACAGAAATCAGAAATTATGTATCATCTCAATTGCATTATTTTCCAAGATTCATTATTACACATCAATGTCATGTAATTTCTTTTTTTAAAAAATAAAAATATCCTGGCAAAAGAGAAAATTTTAAAATTAATAAATACATTCAGTGAGTTAATAAAAGTGATACTAATACATTTGCTAATTAACAGAATCTATATATTTGTCTAGACTTAGTGATTCTGAGTCATTTTTGGCAGGTACCTCAAAGTATTAAGAATTGTATTCATAGCTGTGAAAATGAATTTAAAAATAAAGATAATGCCCTGTGACTTATTTAAAGAACCCTAAGTCAAACAAATGATGATAGGATGTTGACACCTTAAAAGGACAGTGGTAACTGGGATGTAGAATGAAGAGTCTTAACCTTTTCAGCCAGATTATAGGTTCCACACAGCATCTACTACCATGATTAGAGGAAAAAACCCTCAAAAGATTGATTTTATTAATGAGTTATTATTAGCCATATAAGCATTCCTGTTTCCTCATGTGTTTAAAATACAACCCTGGTGTATAATCTTAAAAAATTATTTCATTTTATCTTGTTGAATTTCTTGGTCCCTTAAGATGCTTTATGCCAAAGAAGATTTTTTTATATGTTATATAACCCAAAATTTCTGTTTAATGTATACCAGGATGACTTTTTTTTTTTATTGATTTAATTAAGGTATCATTGATATACAATCTTAAAAAGGTTTCATGTGAGCAACATTGTGGTTTCAACATTCACCCATATTATCAAGTCCCCTCTATCCCATTGCAGTCACTATAGAGACATTACTTGTCTTTGTGCCACACTGCCTTCCCCATGACCTACCTATATTAGGTGTGCTAATTATATTGCCCCTTAATTCCCTTCTCCCTCCCTCCCCACCAATCCTCCCCAAACCCTTCCCTTTGGTAACCACAAACCCTTCCTTTTGGTACCCACTAGTCCCTTCTTGGAGTCTACCAGGATGATTTGTAAACTTTTTAAAAAACAGAAAAATACTGAGGCAGAGAAGCTTTATCACTAGTAGTGAGTAAATAGGTGACAGAACCATGAAACTAATGGAAAATGCTCAGGATATAAAATTTGCCTTAAATATAATTATTATATGACTATCTAAATTAAGGAGATGTATACATACCTAAGCTTTCTATTAACATCAGCAGATCAAACACTAAGTCTACTGTGTAGTGCACTGATGAAGAGGAGAGACTACAGGACATAAGGTGTGGTCCCATTCCTACTCACAGTGCAGCTTGCAGTGTAGATGTAAACAGATAGTACAGGTTAAATAAGGAAAACGTCTCATATCTTTTAGTAAAAAATGACAAAATATAGAATGTGTTAATTGCCATGTTAAGTGTACAGTGATTGCTGGGGAAGTTAAATTTTCAGATGAAAGATGGGATTTGATGAATGATTAGAATGGCAGAAAATGAAATGAGGAGGTTGATAGTTCAGCTGGGTGGGAGTGGCAACAACAAACTATAAGCTATCTTTGAAGGAAAGGGCCATCATTTTGACTAGAGTGTAGACCTGCTGTAGTGAAAAATAAGTTACGATGCCAGCAGTATTTTTGAAGAGACTGTAGAGGCCTTTTGCATATATTTTAGAGTAAGGAACCATCAGTCATTTTAAAGCGTAAGAATGATAGACTCAAAGGACTATGTATGGTATTTCAGTCTGTCAGAAACATGCAGTGTTAGATTAAAGAGATGCTGGAAGTCAAGTAGTTGTGAAATAGTGCAGAGATCATATGACTGTAAACTCATGAAGCTACTCTATTTACTACAAAAACTTAACTTTTACATCCCAGAATCATCTCTTGGGAAATATTACTTTACCTTTTCAGAATAAAGACAACTTTGAAAAAATGTTGAGATATAACAACAGGTAGCGGAAAAGTACTTAAAAAATACAAAAGAAGCAGAGAAAATAAGTTATAGCTGTATAATTGAATTTTTAGCTCTTTCTTTAACTTACTGTAGCAGTGAATTAGGCACGGACATGCTCTGTAAATGTTTCTCAACTTAATTAGATCTTTCCCATGTGGAAGATGTTGCCAGGAGGTAGAGTGGCAAGAGCTGGTAGTTAACTCACAAAATAGGAAAGACAGTGGTGTTGTAGAAATAAATATAGCAGAGGAGACCATTGGAAGGCATTATTAAAATTAAGTTTTTTTAATAACAAAAACAGTATTTTGTTCAGATATATTTTTTAAAAAGAATGCTAGTCAGAATTAATCAGAGATTTATTTAGATTGCCAGAATATATACTTTGTATCAGAGATAGAATTGTTCTGCTGTAAATGGGTTCATTCATTTTTCTTATATTAAAAAATTCTTTTGGGTAGTAATGTATTTCAGAAAGCTGAGTTGAATTATAAGTCAAATCATTTACAAATTCAGAAAGTTGACTAGGGGAATCTTCTTGTTTACTAAATTTCTTTGGAATATGTTCATTCTTCTTCATGCAAACAATATTGATATTTTCCCAACTAATCAAAGTCTGTGGAAATCTGTGTTTAGCAGGAATTTTTTTTTACCTGATGTATATATAGTCTTATTGTAGTTTCAAGTGTACAACACAGTGGTTCAACAGTTCCCCGTAGTATTAAATTCTCACCCACTAGTACAGCTGTGTGTCAACATAAAAAGATGTTACAGAATCATTGACTGTGTTCTCCATGCTGTAATATTATCCCCATGACCAACCTTCATTATGATAGAGAATTTTTATGCTCCTTTATCCCCCTCACCTTCCCTTCCCTTTCCACCCACCCCAACCCTTCCCCATTATAACCACAGAATTCTTATTAAGGGGTATGTGAATCCCCAGAAAGCTTTTGAAAATACATTTATGTGTGTACATATGCATTCTTCAATGATATGTCTGTGGTTTTCATCAGTTCCTCAAAGGAGTCCATGAGCCCAAAAGAATAATCACCTAGACCACCAGAAAAAGTAAAAACTACATTTTGCTGTAAGTTCTTATATTAGGCAGGGTCTGAGACATGTGCCCCCATCCCTTTTCCTTCTTCTAAAATGCTAGTTTGTGTTGTGTTAACGAGAATATAATAAATTTTGTGAGATATGGGACTTCATCTGATGTATTTATGGCTGTAGTTCCCAACACCTACAGTAGTACCTGGTATATGGTGAGAGTTCAGAAATGAGAGTAGAGATGTTTCTATTCATTTTTAGTAGTTGAGACTATCCTTCAGTCATATATTTTAAAAAAATAGTTTGGGTGTCCTGATTGGTATGAAAGTATATTTTTAGAGCTTTCTATTTTCCAGGCAAAAATGTTAAATTCTTCCCTCAAACAACACTTACATAATGCATTTGAATTAGTATACCATTGGTCAGGTAGCTATGTAAGCTGATTTTCCAAAGATAAAGGGGAATTTTTATTTACCCAACTTCTATTTGTGCCAGGCCATATCCAATATATATAATGTGTTAATAATTATGTGTGTGTGTTTGTATAGCTAAAATCATATGTGATCTCAACACCCTTCTTTTAGATATAAAAAACTAGGAATCACTGAGATGAACTAGTCGGCCCAGGTTGCAAAGCTAAAGAAATTGTACACCCAAAATTTGAATCTTAAGAATAACTTGAAAATGATTCTCTTTACACCTTTCCATGCTGCTTCTCTTAGAGATTACATATATGTCTGTGTGGCACCTCTCTCTACCATCCAAGAAAAGTCATTTCCCATTCTTTTGTGAATCTCAAGCTTAATAATCTTAAGCCTGGTTTCATGTCAGATATTTTTCACTAAAATACATTTTTATTTATCCTAATCAAAACATTTAAAGCTTGAGAAGGGGAAGAAAAACAGGACAAAAACACAGAATAATCTCTATTTTTCTGTTTCATATTAGTAAATTTTATGTATACTCTTCTGTTTTCTGTTAATAATTTCAGAAAGATCAATTGAAATAAACATAGCTGCTTTTACTGATCTGATTTTGATATCACAATTTAGGACTATGTGAATACTACTAATTTTTTGGAAATTGTTTCTTTTTACTTCAAAAGCATTTTCATGGAAAAGACCCTACACTGTTTGAAAATATACCAACTTTAGTCACTATTTTTTAACGATGATTTGGCATACCACTTCTCTTAGCTGTGTGGTCTTGACCATTTAAATCGCTCATTAAAATTACTGC